TATACTCGAGTATATACGGTATTTAGCTCTCATCAGCTAGCTATATATATATGTGTGTGTGTGTGTGTGTGTGTGTGTTTTATTTGTGCTGATATATATATATATATATGCACATGCACATGCACATGCACACATGTAATATATGTGGTGAAGGATTATAAAAATATAAGAATATAATATAACAAGACCAAAGAATAATAAAAAGAAATAAGAATACAATTTAAAGATAAGTGGAGTTAGCAACATCGGAAAGAAACAAATAAAGAAACAAAAGCAACACTACCAATTGGCTGGATTTACAAATTTAACAATCCTAATTATAGTTTCATGGCTATGGTGATGGTATCTTACAACTTGATCACTTGATTTAGACTATTCTTAGTGAGATACCTCTGAAAAGACTGAGTTTCATAGCTACAGAATATGAACCTCACCAATACAGAATTCTACGCCATGTGTCACAATCACTGAACTGTCATACTTAATTAAAAGTACAAGTTGTTATATACTTTTCAAGCCCTAAGTAGGCCCACTCAGGAACAGTCTTGTCAAAACTGAATCTGGAGTTCAAATTAGAGGTACTGCAGGCTCCAGCCCTCAATGCATTTTATAACACATTTTGCAATGCTGTAAAATGAAGGGATTATAGGTGCCACTATAGATCGGGTTTGTGCATGTTTTTATACTATTTTAATATTTGTTTTGTTTTGTGCTGTCCTGAATCCCAGAGATCTTTAAAACCAATAGACTTAAATATTTTGCAAATATTGCAAAATGAACAGACAGGTATCATTAATAGACCCAGTATCAACGAGCTCACTTAAAATATATTTCTTGACCTTGACTACTTCTATTTATAAATATAAAATATATGTTGCCTGAAACTATATAAATGATTATCTAATATTAATGTGTAACCATTGGCAGAAGTAATATAATGATTTTATAGAAATATAATAAAAATAAATGGACCTTATTGTCTAGATAATGAATCTTAATGTTAAATAGTGCAAAGAATGAAGAGATTTATTCCAAAATTCAATAATTTGTGTAAAAATGTATTATTGGAGAAACTATACTCTGGGGGGAGAGGGGAGATGGAAAAATTATTTATTTGTTTATTTACTTATTTATTCCCATATGCCACACTAATTTGGAGACTGAGAAATACAGCAAGCCAAAAGTAGACTTAAAAGGATTAGAAATAATACAAAGAACTATAGCATCCAACTTGATCTCCCTATATATTCTCAGATTTTCCATCTCACTCCCACAGGGTCTCCTGAAGACCCCCA